TGGGTCGACTCGTCTAAACCCGAGCTGCCTCCTCAGTCAGTCCTCCTTCTGCAGCTTGTCAAATCAGAGGTCTACGGCCACTCGAAAAAAAACGACGTCTACTGCAGCCAGGCAAGACAGACTCGCGCGAAAGACGAAGTGTAACCGCACGCTCCTCTATGAGCCGAGGAGGACTACGACGTCCCGAGCCCCGAGACCTTCCAGACGGAAGGCAGCAGCTACCGCAAGGCACGCAGAACTCAGCAGCCCTCCCTCCCTCCCTCCCTGAAAGGTGAAGCTTCTGAACATAATCATGGTGCGTCGGGGCAAGTGCTCTTTTACGACGAAGGCCATTTCCGCGCATCCCTTTCGCCGCCTGTATGGGTCTTTCGCCTAGCAGAGGTTAGCAGAAGCTTGAATCCCAGCGAGTCACCATCATCCTGACACTGGCGGTTTGGATGTTGGACCTTTTCGCGGGGGGTCCCGGGTGCATGTCCGCCGGGCGCATGTCCGCGGGCAGGTCAAGGTGGCGCAGGACAAGGGTGCCCACGCCGTGATCATCGTGGATCGCGAGGCCGGGGCCGCCTCTTCAGTGCCGCTTTAAGAAGCAGCGCGTGCTGTTTTCCGGTGTCCTTTTTGGAAAAACCTGGGATTTTTCGAGGATTCGCCCCTCACGGCCGAGAGCCTCGCGAACATCATCGTCGCCGACGACGGCTACGGCAGCAGTGTTTACATTCCCTCGGTGGGCAAAGGGGTTTTCAAGATCTTCGAAGTCTATAAGCATCCATGAATCACAGCCACGCTGCATTTCTGCGTCGCCTTTGGGAGAGGTGTTGATCTCCAAAGAGGATGGCCAGCAGCTCATCAGCGCGGCCCAGTCCACCGAGGCTGGCGGCGGGCGGCGGGCCCCTTCCTCCCTTCTTCTCTCCCGTTCATCTCTCTTTTGATGTCTCTTCCTGCTTTCGTCACCAGGTCGTCATCGAGCTCGCCTGGAACTTGCCAACCGATCACGTGGTCACCATGGACATGTGGATGAGCTCGGGCTCCAGTCAGTCCATGCAGTTCTTGAAGGCGCAGAGGGCTGAAATCTACGAATCTACTCCTTTCTGATTTCAATCTGCGTTTCACGTGGCAGGACTTCGCTCCCAAGCGAAGGACCCTCAACGAGGTCATGATTTTCAATCCACATTATGCCTACATCTCAGCCTTGGCCCAACTCTTGGCGCCTTTTGGCCCGCGCCAGACTCAGACTCGAGGCCGTCTTCTCCATGGACACCAATGACCCTGCCGAGAGCTCAACAAGCAGTCTGCACACAGAGCATAACAGAGCCCTGCCCAGGCGGTTTACTCAGGGGTCTGCTTGGAGAACTTCGGCAGCAAGGGCGAGTTCTGCGCCGAGGACCGGCCGCGCGAACTGCAACTCGAAGGCGCCAGGCATCCTGCAGCAGCGTAGCATAGCGTAGCCATAGAACGAAGACTTCTGGAGACAGAGTGTGAAACGCCGTTTGAGTCCAGCATGTCGTGGTTCGATTGTCGGATCTGATAAGCAGAAAGTGTGTCATTTGTGGGTTCTAAGCGTCGCATTTGTCCACACTGCCGCTTTGAGCCGGTGAGGACCCCGACGGTGCCGGGGACGTGACGGGCAAAGAGGTTTCCACGGGCAGCGCTTTCGCTTTCGGGAAAGAGCACTCGTCGCAGGTCCTTGAGGAGGATGTGCGGCAGCTTTGCATCCACGAAGCTACCAAGGCTGTCGGTGGAGTTGAAGCTGCAGTCGAAATCTGAAGCTCGGCAGGTCGCCAGGACGGACAACGTCACTCCTCCCTCCCTCCCTCCCTCCCTCCCTCCCTCCCTCCCGCTCTC